ATTACTTAAAAACTATATACAATTTATATAACACAATTATATATAGTTTTTAAGCAATTTCTCAAGAACTACTAATTTAAATTGCATGAAATTTTAATATGTTATAGCATGATATCATATTTATAAACTGTAAAAAGTTCAGCTTATTTAGATAACTGGCTGTTGAGTAATTTAAATCCGGATAATAATATAATATTATGATTTTTAATATAATAAATACTTTAATATTATTGGCTATTTGACTATATAGTACATGATAAATGGGAACCCCCACCCCTAAAAAATTACATGATTTCCTGCACTTCCCTTAATATAATATTTAATTTATTATACATATATATATAATCATAACTTACTTTTTAGTAGAACTATACACTAGACTTTTTGGTTTAATTATACTTTATGTCTTATACAATTTATCTAATTCACTCATGCAACTTTATAATTATAACCACAATATCTAAACCTCTTATACCTAATATAAATAATAGATTTGATTCTCTGGAAGCTTTCAAAAATACTGCAAAATTAGCTATAAGTATGAAGGGTTTGCATTTTCAAAAAAAAATAGCAACTTTATTGGGTGTAAAGGAAAACTGCTCTTTGTTATTTTGCAATGCACAAAAGGTGAAGAGTGGTGAAATTGTTGAATTATAGCAGAGAAAATTAGGGAAAAAAAGAAAACTACTAAACATAAAGATGCCTTGTATATATTAGAACCACTGCAACAAAATGCTATTCGACTACAAGTGTTTTAATACTAAAGTAAAATGAATTGTTATGAAAGATATACTTAAACATAAGCATACTATGCTTGAGTTGGATGAGGTTATAACTTTTTCACAATATCATGTTATAAGAGGATATCAAAGAGCTTTGATACAACTTATATATTTTTAAAAAAGAAAATTTTGTATAGAAATTTATCAAATATTATATTTTTATATAAGTGCTGCCCAGTTAGACTTTTAATATATTTTGTATACAATTAGCTATCTATGGAAAATTTATCATTATAATAAATTATTCATAGATGGTTAACTATATACAAAATATATTGAAAGTCCAATTAGCCTTTTTCCTTTGACAGCACCCATATATAAATTTTTAAAATTTGCTCTATTTTATACATCTCTTTGGCTAAAATTATACAAACTTTATACAAACTTAGATCTAAATTGTATTAGTGATCTTTAGAGTTCTGCTATGAGTCTAAATCAGAAAAATCTAGTACAACAATTGTATAATAATAATGCACCAACTTAGCCATTAATAAGAATATTAATGGTGATATTATTTTCTCAAAAGACATTGTGAATAAATATGCACATATTAGGCTTGCTTTGAATGAATATTAGCTATTAAGACTTCTTGAAAAATATGATTATATAGTTGTGGCATATAAAAAAACAAAAGGATGTCTAATTCACCTTTTTTTTCTCATATTGAAGCTACTAAATGCAATGCCAAATGCTTGAAATTCTTATTGTAAATGCTATATACAGAATAAATATTTACAAATATCATTATCACATGTTCAAATTAACGACAGGCCTGCATTACACAGGTGAAAAACCACCAGCTAGTGCTAAGCTGCACAAACTCAACTGCTTATACTGATCTTCTGAAGCAATATTATTTTCTATTTCTGGAACATTTCATTTCTATATATTTCAATAATACAAAATTCTAACTAATATAATCTGCATTCATCAAATTAAGTAAAACTCAAATATATCAGACTGAATTATTACAATATAAGAAACATGTGCAATGTTTTTTGTTCAACATTATTTAAGAATATATACCTCATTCTTATATGAATAAAATAATTGGTAAAATGTACAGAACACTTGTAACAGATGATAATTTTATAATAAGAGTAAATTTTTTTTTAAGAATTGAATTCTAAAAAAAAAAACTTTATTAATAACAAGAAATGATATCTTCAAATATAAACATAATACAGTATAACATTTCTAATTTATTAACAAGAAGAAATATTGATATTATACAGCTGATTTTATACACAGTGTGAAATACAAAAAAATAATTTTACAATACTTAATCAAACTTAATCAGTTAGCTAGTACATATTATGATTATAACCTACACTATTTTTTATTATAAAAAATAGTGTAAAATTATAATCATAACATTTACTAGCTAGCTGATCAAGTCCAATCAAGTATTGTAAAATCATTTTTTTATATATTTCACACTGTGTATAAAATCAGCTATATAATATCAATGTTTTCTTCTGTTAAGTTTATTACCAATATAAAAGTTTATTATATTAGTTATGTCATAACAGTTACTATAGTGATAACAACATATTAGAGTCATATAATCGGCTCATAGCTCCAAACTAGCTCAGATAACTAATGGCTCAGCTTGTATTATATAGAGCTATTAAACAATTTAGCTAAACCAATTGTTTGCAGAGCCATTTGCATTATTAATTATCTCTATATTGAACATTGTCCATGTCCATGTTCATAGATTTTGGCTTGAACATGTCCATGTACATTATTAGATGCAAAATAATTATATAAGCTTGGACATTGGACATTGTCTAAGATCATCTATGTTTAAGAATTTACTTGAATATTTGTCTATTTACAATACTGGGTATAGTGTTACAGAAGTTTAAATCCTTAAGATGGGAGTTATGTATCTCATTTAATTACTGTTATAAGCTAGTGATCTGGGACCCATGCTTCTGCTATATTTAGTCATTGGCTTCTATATAGGTTGTGTGACACATTACTCATTGATCATTCTTATTTTCATACTACAAGATCGCTTGCTTCTATGCTTTTGAGAGTTTCTTTTAGCCAGTTTTCTTTGTTTCTTTGCACTAGAGGGTTCTATATTTGGTAAAGCTATCCTTTTACCACAGCTCTTTACTATATTTATTGCTTCTCTCACCACTTCTAAATATATTATATATAGCTGTTCTTCTAATCAAGATCCCAATACTGCCTTAGAGTTGTTAGTACTACCTTGCCAATTGCAGATTCACATGCATAGCCATCTGCAGTAAATCTTCTATGACCCATATCATATGCAGTGTCTAGTCTTCTCTATAGCTTGGAGCTTTTTTCAAAAATTCTTTATAGGCCAAATATGTATATCATATGGTCTTACTATTATAGGGTTTCGTATTCAAAAGTTCCTAAAGATTATAAAGATAATTAATTAAATTAATTACAACTAGCTATAATTAAACCATCAATCTTTAAAGAGTTAGATGTCTAAACTACTAGACGATGAGACTCTAACCCTTAATTATAAAACTATATTTTATATTAAAAAGTTATTAACTACTATACAATTTATCAATTAGGTTGTAGGATTTTGTATAACAAATAAAAAAATTTTTAAAAATTATCAATACTACAAAAATTTTATTATAAAACTAGCTTTGAGCTATTAAAAAAAGTTTTTAATATCTAATTTTACATATAGTTAATTTTTTCCAAGTGCAATTTAATAAGCCAACAAAATATTTTAAATTTAGAAAGAACTTACAATTAAAGAAAACTAAATTAATATATACTATATTTTTACACAATAATGCTCATGAGTGTTATTTTGAGGTTCAACCTGAATTAAGCTTAATTCAGACTAAAATTCATAATTTTACACCTGCACATTATTATGTAGTAATATAATAATTAATTTTCTCTAAATACAAATTAATAAATTAAATAAATATATCTTGTATTTAGAAAAAACTTTAATTAATAAATCAATTTAATTGGTTAATTAAATATTTTACAATTAGAAAAATAAAAATCTTGTATTTAGAATATGAGTAAAAAGAGTAATTTTAATTTACTAAGAGGCTATATCTAGAAATATGCGGATTTTTTTGTTTCTAAATTATATAATGCAATATTATATCATATAATACAACTCTGTATTTCTATACTTTATATTACTATCTAATTTTTATCAAGAATAACTCTAATATGTAGTTATATTATATCTAAAGATATTAAGAATTTTCTATTTTGAAACTTAAATTATTATTATTAAAATTAAAATTGTCTAAACTAGCTGGTTTATTATATTTGTTAATATATAAGTATTAGTAAGAAAAAATTTGTAAATTTAAATAAAAATTAGTAAATTGGTTTGCAGATTTTTTCTTATCAATACTCATATTATAAACTATTAATAACTAGTTTATTTTTTATATAAATAACTGCTATAATAACTTGTTTGATTTTTTTTATTTAACTAGTTAATCTTATAAAAAATAATTAATATTTACAATTTGAGATACAGATTGGATTACGGCAGTACTCTAAAAGTTGGCTTGAGATATGAACCCGTTGGTGGCAACACAACATGTACTAGTTAAAAAGAAGTTACCAAACATGCAGTTGAATACATATGTAGAACATGTACTGTACTGTTAGATTTACTACAAGGATAAATGTCTTCTGTTGTTAACTAAAGTCTTAGTGTTTTAAACAGTAAATTGTCCTTATAAAAAAAAACATATTAGGAGAAAATATGTAGTATCAGTAAAAGCTAGAAAGTTTAAATAGATAGCTTTTTAGTTAGGCTATAGATATAACATCTAGTATAGAACTCTTAGCATAGCACTAATGCTTTGGATGGACTACTTAATTAGGCAATCAAAAGTTGTATGTATAACTAGTTGTATTTTCATAATACTAGTATAATATGTGGTTTATGTCTTCAGATACTGACTATCTATTTAAACTAATAAAGTGCTAGGGACTATGAGTGGTCACCTTAATATTCAAAAAAAAAAAAATTAATATTTATAATTGTTATATATTAATATAATAAATAAAGTTAGATATCAAAAATAAATTTTACTTTTGAAAACTACTTTATTATATATACTTCTTTTATATATAGTATAAAATTATTTATTATATTCACAACACACCAAGAAAGAATGATACTACAATACTGGCTGATCTTTTACAAACTATTAGAAAGTAGAAATAAGTAGTGATCAATGCAGCCTTTTATTTTACCAGTATTAGAGAAACTTAATAAAAAAAAAACTAGATATATACAGAACTAATAAATATATTATATACAAAAAGATGATAGAAAATATAGATTATTTAGTAAGTTGTGAATTATAATTAATAGGCAATCTGCCAGTCATCTGGATACAAAATTTTTTTTTATATATAAATTTTATTATAAGTGTAAATGCATAGTACTTTTATTTAAAACTTTTTTTATACTAAGTAAATTACTCTTCGGCTTCTAACAAAAGTTGTAGAGCTTATCAAAATGTATTTAATACTGTAAGAATATCAAAATTGGTTTGGTAGTTCTTGAGAAATCTTTAAAAAAAACTTCTTCTTTACATATAAAATTTCTTTAAAAAAAATTAATTTTTTTTAAAGAAATTTTATATGTAAAAAAGAAGATTTCTCAGGAACTACCAGACCAATTTTAATATCCTTTTAATATTAAATACATTTTTATAAGCTCTACAACTTTTGTTAGAAGCCGAAGAGTGATTTACGTAGTATAAAAAAAAGTTTTAGATAGAAGTGCTGTGCATTCGCATTTATAGTAAAATTTATATATAAAAAAAAATTTTTTATCCAGGTGACTGGCGGATTGCCTATTAAATTTAAATATTAAATTCT